CCTAGGTGTCTGGTGGCCTGGTGACAAGTACAGTGGGAGACCTAGCTTGGCCACTCCAGAGGGGCTCTCTCACCCCGGGAACAGCGTTAAGTAACAAAGCCAAGGAGATTGGATTGGCTCATGGTTTTCCCCAGCCTCATCACTCCGATCAACAGTGGTCTTGTGTGTACCTTACCTCCCCCTTCTGCCCCACCCCACCCCCAAGACACACATATCTTGTGGTTTTATTTTTAAGGAAGTGTCTGTAAAGTTGAAAGCAAGTTATGATACAATACCCATTAGTAAAGGTGTTTCCTGCCGGATTTCCTTCTCAGAAGCAAGATCAGGTGGTTGAGAAGCATTTTGCAGCATCAACTTTATGCGTGGTCTCCGGTCATCTAAAATCTCAAGTTCCGGAAACCAGTAACAGCTCTTACCAAGGACCATGGCTAGGCAGTGCCTGAGGGGACCTGGTGGGGGGATGTCCCCCTCGTTTCCATAAAAACTATTGGGTAGATCCAACCAGAGGCAGAGAAAGCAGGACTGCGCCCCAGAAGCCTAGATGTCATGGGCTCTAAGAAGGTCTAGCTACATCATAAAAGGGTCTGTTGAGTTCAGACCAAAATTGTCCTCTCCTTTATGGTGACCAGTCTAGAACCTTTTTGGAATAAAAGACAGCAGACGAGGGTGTCCAAAAATGCGGGGTCGGAGTGAGGAGCCTAGGGGGTGTGGTCATAAAAGCCACAGTGAGTGTTGGCTTGTCGGCCTTAGAAGGGACCAGGGGGCCTGGAGCTTGATGCAAGGCAGGATGCTGCAAGATGGCATGAGCAGCCGCTTCACACCTTCGTACACCATCTCAGGTGACCGTCCCTCGATCCATGCCTGTGTGCCTTTCTGTGTCCCCTTGGAAGTGGCAGAGGTACTGAGCCCTTGACAGGTCGCAGACTCCACTGCCCCTTCCGGCCGTCCTGGGGCTAGACAGATCTGCCAGTGGTGGCCCAGCCCTGGTGACTGCATCTGGGGCATGGTTTCCTTCATTACTGGAGTTAGCTTCAAGTTCAGAGATCACTACAAAATACCCTGCGGTGGCAGCTTGCTGCTGGATTTATCCTTTGTGCTTGGTTGAGGAGCTTCAGATAGCTTTCTTTGCATGACACATCGGGGCCCAGCCAGCCAGGAAGTGTCAGCCAGGCCCTGGGTTTGGAGGGGCGGGCACAGGCCAGGCCCTGAGGGCCCCCAGGCTGCCCGCCAGGGAGGAGGCGGGCTTGCAAAATTCCACCCATCAGCCCGGCATCTGCCAGACCCACTTGGTGTCAGGAGCTCTGCCAGACGCTGCAGTCCCTTGAGGAAAGCCCTGGGCTGCGGCCCGTGGCCTTGGTTTCTGGCCTCTGCCTGACCTCGTCAGGAAAGCCCCTGTCCCAGCCTCAGGTGACAACTCCCAACCAATCGAGAGCCTGCCCCGGGCGACTGAACCTCACGCTTCTCCCCGGAGCCTGGAGTGCCTGCTGTCATTCATGCGGCCCCTCCCTCGTTCAAGGCCCGGGTTCAACAGCCAGCAAGCGCCCTGACTGAGGTGGCGGAGTGGACCTGTGCCCCCTCCGCTCTACTGACCTCGGGTGGCCCTGTGCACAGTCTGCGGCTAGTGAGGGCTACCTGCCACGCTAAGCACTGGAGCCTCACGCGATGCAACAGCCCGCGAAATAAGTACCGTTGTCCCTGCCATCCTACAGGTGAAAACACGAAGGCTCGTGTTAACTTGCCAAGGGGCTCCCAACTAGGAGGAGTCCGAGTCCGAAGCAGGTGTGTGTGTGTGTCCAGCAGGTGGCATGGATGTGCCTTCCCCCGGGGCGCCGCCTCCTGCAGACCAAAGGCATGGTCGGAGGCCCCCCGCCCAGGGGAGAAGAAATTCCCAGGGGTGGGACTCTGGTGTGTCTCGAGCTCTCTCTCGAGTGCAGGCACCTGGTTCTCTTATGAGGCCTCAGGGTTCATCCCCGACCCACCCAGAGCCCATTTCTGGTCCGGTTTTCTGAGAAACGGAAGATTTGTGGCCCCTTGGGAAGCAGATTTCCAGCAACCCACATTTCTGCATGCAGACACCTGCTTGCAGTTAAGAGCCTTGACCCCTCACGGCCAGCGTCCCCTCCCAGTGGCTTGGCTGCCTGCCAGGCAGTGGCACCTCGGGGGGGCCCCGTCCCACCAGTGTGGGCATCAGGAGAGAACCGGTCCTGAGGGCTGGCCCCGGGCGTCCTCAGGCTGCTGATCCAGACTGTTCTCACCCAAGGAGGGGCAGCAGGTGGGCTTTAAGTTATGCTTGGGAAAGAACTAACAGCCTCGTAACGATGGCTGATTTGTTCCCATCCTGGAAAGCCCTGGATTCCCTCTCTTGACACAAGATCCCGGAGGGCACTGCTTGGACCTCGGGCTCTGATGTCACATCCCTCTCCACTCGCCAGCGTGGCCCAGCCCCGGGGATTTCCTGGTTGAGGAACTGGCCCGCCCAGCCCATGTGGGGAAGGCCTGGCGTTGGAGAACGTGGCATCTGGGAAGAGGTAAAGACCTGCCTCCTTCCCAGCCTGGCCCAATTTGGGAATCTCCTGCTTTGGGGGTGTTGGTGCAGGCCAACTCCTTCCTCGTGAATCCCCAGTCGTGTTCATCATTCACTCACATGATGAATGGCAGAGCAGGGGAGCCCAGTGGTTGAGAGCATGGGCCTGGGGTCCGGACTGCCTGGGTTCAAATCCCAGCTCTTCCCTTACAACTGATTTACGGCTCTGTGCCTCAGTTTTCGTGTCTGTAAAGTGGGGGGAAATAACAGCACCTATCTGACAGCTTCCTCGTGATGATAAGGTGTTGGTAAATACAAAGCGCTCTGACCCCGGCTGAGGCCCTCCAGCCAGCCGTCAAGGGGCAGTGGGGGGCACTCTGAGCTGTGGTCGTAATACGCAGCTGACCGGGCCCCTGGGATACCGACTTCCTCATCGTTATGATCTGATAATCACCAAACTGTATGTTTTTCTGCAATTTTCTGTATATTTCACAATAAAAGTCTTAAAACTTTAAAAGTTTGAATCTTGGGGGCGCCTGGGTGGCTCAGTCATTAAGCGTCTACCTTCAGCTCAGGTCATGATCCCAGGGTCCTGGGATCGAGCCCCACATCGATGGGGTTCTCTGCTCCGCGGGAAGCCTGCTTCTCCCTCTCCCACTCCCCCCTGCTTGTGTTCCGTCTCTCTCGCTGTGTCTCTGTCAAATAAATAAATAAAATCTTAAAAAAAAAAAAAAGTTTATATCTCCCCCTGCCCCCTCCCCCCCAAACAGCCCTTGTATCCGTTTATTATCTCATTCCTTCAATTTGCTCATTCCCTTTTTTTTTGTTTTAATCCTTTGGTCACTTGCTTGTCTCCCCCGTGCATTCAAGTCAGGCCTGCCACGGCCTCCCAAAGGCTTTGAGCCTGCCAAGCGACAACGGGACTTGCTGTGGATGCTCCTGGCTGCGGGGGCCGCGGGAGGAGGTCTGGGGAGGCCACAGGAGGGAAGTGGTAAGGTGGTGTCTGCACGACTCGGCTCGCCGCCCGGGGCCCGGAACCTATTATGCAAGAGTGGAAAGGCCACGGGAGGAAGGGAGGGAAGTGCCACTGGCCCCGGGCCCCGCTGACTTCCCCGGCCCTTGTCCTCACTGCGCCCAGGTGAGCCAGCCTGGGGGCTGCGCGTGCAGTGACCTCAGGGCAGCACCGCGTGGGAACGGGGACGGCGGGAAGCGCTTGCAGTGAGCCAAGCGCGCTGTGCTCCCAGGCGCTGCCGTCCATCCCATGGCCCCAGCCTATTCCTCATGTGGCAATTGTCATCCAAGCATGACGTACCCACAGCAAAGGGCCACGCGCGACCCCGCGTGCCGGGACTGGGCGGATTATGGGAGAGCGAGCACGCTTGCAGAACCAGCAGCCTGATCAGGAAGGGGCAGTCCGGCTACCACCTCCTGCTCCCTAACGGCCACCGCTGTCCCCACCCTGGAGGTCACCCTGCCTTCCAACAGTGGAGCCTGGCGAGGGGAGTTTTTCAGCTTGGTCTACACGGCGTCCTGCCAAAGTGTGCTCTGCTGTCTGCCTTCTCTCCCTCCACCTGTGTCTAGAAGGTTCCCCCGAGTTGTGTGCGGCAGCTCCTCGTTGCTGAGCACCGTATCCTCCTGTGCGGGAAGGTTCTATTTCTTTTTTTAAGATTTATTCATTTGTGAGAGGGGGGAGGGAGGAGAGGGAGGGGCAGAGGGAGAAGCAGGCTCCCCGCCGAGCAGGGAGCCCGGTGCGGGGCTCGATCCCAGGCCCCTGGGATCGTGACTTGAGCCGAAGGCAGACGCTTAACCGCCCGAGCCACCCAGGCGCCCCTCGGGAAGATTCTAGATACATAATGGAGATGACCAGAGAAGGGCCTTGCAAGGCTGGCCACACCCAGGGCCGGTGACCTCCTAGTGACCACAGGGGATGTGCCAAGCAAATCTCTCAGCGAAGAGGACGTGGCCCCTGCCCTTCTTAGTGACAAAACCAGGAACAACCACCAACTTGACCGGTCATGGTAACAGTCTCAAAACGGCACATTTTGGCTCCCCTCTGCCAGACGCCACCTCACCCCCAGGAGTTCAGGGGGACCCGTGGCTCTCAGAGTGCTGGTGGCCTTTGCCGTGGCCTCTGGGTCTTGGAATCTGTGCGTCTGGGCCACCAACCAGCCCCGCCAACCTGAGCCTGCAGCCAGACTGTCAGTGGAGGCCACCTGCCCTGTGACCTTGGACCAGCTCTGTAATCTCTGAGCCTCCCAGGTACCCCCGCCCCCCGCACCGTGCGAGAGGCCCCAGCCCCTTCCCTCACCCACCAGCACACGGCTCCCTCCTCACCTCTTCACCCCACATCCCTCTCAGCAGAGCCTGTGGTCCCATTTCACTCAGGAGGAAACTGAGCCCCGAGGGTCCACTTGAACGCAGGTCTCAGAGCCTGTCCCCACGGCCACTGGTGCTCAGTTACACACCCCTGTAGATATGCACCCCTCCCATGGAGGGCACTGGTGCGGCCACTACCCAAGTGTTTAGGGAGGGCCCTCTGCAAGCCAGCCACCAGGCTAGGGCTTGGGCCACAGCCAAGCCCTTGCTCCCATGGGGCTCACATCCTGGTAAGGAGAGACATCGTAAAAAAAACCCGAAATAGACAATATGTCCGTCGTAGTAAGTGCTCTGAATCAAAACCGGGAAGGTGTGAGTGTGTGGGGGGGGGAAGCGTGAAGTTTTGCTCTTTTGTGAAGTTATCAAGAAAGGCTTCCTGGAGGAGGTGCCATCTGAGCAGAAACCTGAAGACCCTAGGGAGGGAGTTACAGACAAGTGGGAGACGGTCCAGGTGGCCCCGCAAGAGCAAAGACCCTGCAGTGGGAGCAGCTTGGTGTGTTCCAGGAACTGTAGAGAGGCCAGTGTGGCTGGTCCACAGGTTGCCGGAGGGAGAGGGGTGGGGGATGGGCCCCCCCCCAAACTGCGGGGCTCGCCAACCGTGGGGAGGACCTGGCAAGCTCTCCCATCCACATGCCTGCATGAGGCCGCCCACGTCCATGCCACAGGAGTCGAAGGAATCCCAGAAACTGAAAGAAGAAGCAGAGCCCTCCTTGCGTCCTCCCTGCCCCCTCTTGCCCCCACCCCTGCCGAGACCAAAGTGACTTCCTCTTTCCACCCCATTTAAGGCCCAGCCAGGGAGCGCCCCCACAGAAGGGGAGGCCCCGCAGTCCGGCCATGGGGGACACCTTCATACGCCACATCGCCCTTCTGGGCTTCGAGAAGCGCTTCGTCCCCAGCCAGCACTACGTGAGTAGCCCACGGGAGGGCCCTGCGAGCGCGCGGGGACAGGCCTGTCGTGGGAGCACTGGTGCCAGAGAGTGCTGTGACCGCGCGGCTCCCAGGACCACTGGCCTGTCGGGGCACACCGTGGACGTGCACCCTGGCACCCCGGGGCCCTTGGTGGGAGGACAGGCGGCTCGGCCCCTGGCCCCTGCCAGCCCACCTCACTCCTTGCTCCCCCGCCCCAGCCAGGAGTCCCCCGCAGCACCCTGTTCACGTCCCGGCAGCCCAGGGCCCACTCCTCCCAGCAGCCCTCCCTGACCATCCCAGCTTTCAGGGAGCCGTCCTCCAGGAGAGGACTGGCGGCAACCCTCTGTCTCCCCAAGCCGGCCCTGGGATCAGTTACATTCCAGTCGGATCCCCTCCAGTAGGGTGACCCCCACCAAGGGGCCAAAAATGTCCCCTTCCCCCATGCCCTGTCCCGGGAGGCTGCCCGAACATGTCCACCCCACCCCACCAGAGGGTCCCCAAGGCCAGAGGAAGGCCAGGGAGGAACTCTGCTTTGTCAGTTGTAGGGCACATTCAGTATCCTTTGCCAAGACCTTTCTTCTTTTTCTTCACTTTTAATTTCGAAATAATTTCAAACTTACAGAAAGGTTGCCCCCAAAGCACCAATAACTCCAATATCCCTCCACCCCCCACATCTGTGCTCCCTCTCTCCTCTCCCTCCCCGTCCCCTTCCTCCCTCTCTTTCTCTCTCTCTCTCTCTGTCTCTCTCTTCCCCACCTCTTTCTCTCTCTCTCTCTCTGAATAGGACTTTCCTGAATCATTCTAGAGTAAACTGGAGACATTGTGTTTCTTTACTCCTAAACACTACTGTGTACTTTTTAAAGGATTTATTTATTTATTTGAGAGAGAGAGCACAGGAGGGGAGAGGGAGAGAGAATCTCAAGCAGACTCCCTGCTGAGCGCGGGGCTCAGCCTCACCACCCCGAGATCATGACCTGAGCGGAAACCAAGAGTCGGATGCTTAACTGACTGCACCACTCAGGTGCCCCTCTACTGTGTGTTTCTTAAAATCAAGGGCATTTTCTTACATCACCGCAATGCAAATGTGTCAACATCAGCAAATTAACGTAGACGTAGATGAAACACCGTTCTCCGACCCACGGACTTCACTCAGATTTCACCATTTCCCTTACCTGTCTTCTGTAGTAAAAATGTTCCCGGTCTGGGATCCAACCCAGGACCACCTGCTGCATTTCACATGTCGTGACTCTTCAGACTCCCTTAGTCTGGGTTAGTCTTTTTTTTTTTTTTTTTAAAGATTTTATTTATTTGAGAGAGAGTAAGCCAGAGAGAGAGCACGAGGGGGGAGGAGCAGAGGGAGAGGGAGAAGCAGACTCCCCACTGAGCAGGGAGCCCGATGCGGGGCTCGATCCCGGGACTCCAGGATCATGTCCTGAGCCGAAGGCAGACGCTTAACCGACTGAGCCACCCAGGTGCCCCTGGGTTAGTCTTTTTTTAAGTTTATTTATTTAAGTAATCTCTGCACCCAACACGGGGCTCGAACTCATGACCCCGAGATCAAGAGTCACACCTTCCTCCGACTGAGCCAACCAGGCGCCCATGGGTCAGTCTTAATCTTTTTTTGTCCTTCTCAACTTTGACATTTTGAAGAGCGGGGGCCAGTCATTTTGTAGGATGTCCCTTCTACAACAGGATTTGTCTAATCCTTTTTCATTAGACTGGGATTATGTATTGGTGGCAGGAATAGCCCAGAAGTGACATGGTGTTCACCTCGTTGATCCTATCAGCGGCAGGGGATTTTTTGCTGGTTCCTGTGTCGGTGATGTTAATTTTGATCACCAGATGTCTCTACTGTAAGGTGACTAGTTTTCCCCTTGTGATTAATAATGAACCTGCGGGGAGATTTTCTGAAATTAAATGAATATCCTGTTCGCTCTACAGCACCTGGATGACTCTTGCCTAAGTCAAATTACTATAATGATTGCCAAACTGATTTTTTTTTTAGTACAATTTGCTTTTATTCTTGTTTTTTTTTTTTTTAAAGATTTTATTTATTTATTTGAGAGAGAGAGAATGAGAGATAGAGAGCATGAGAGGGGGGAGGGTCAGAGGGAGAAGCAGACTCCCTGCCAAGCAGGGAGCCCGATGCGGGACTCGATCCCGAGACTCGATCCCGGGACTCCAGGATCATGACCTGAGCCGAAGGCAGTCGTTTAACCGACTGAGCCACCCAGGCGCCCCGCCAAACTGATTTTTTTAAACTCTACGGTTCCTTCTGCATTTATTAGTTAACATTGTACCGTAAGGTTCTTCCCCTCGTCCTTACTATTTACTTAGGTCACTGTGGATGTGATCCATCACTATCATAACTCATTTCATGCTCCGATCGTACCAGATCTGGCTACTGGGAGCCCCTTCAAGCTGGCTCCTGTGTTTTTTTGACCTAGTCTGTCATTCTCTCAGCATTATTCTTACTTCTGCTACTGAGATGTTCCAGGCTGACCCTGTGCTCTCCAGCGGGAGCCCTGGACTCTGCCGTTTCACCTGTTTCTCTGCAGTGGGGAGTGAGGTTAGAACTCTAGATTTGGAAGCTGAGCATGCTCACTGCCTCTGGGATGTCTTTCCCCGTGGCCTTTCAGACCAGGGAAAAGAGCCATTCCATCTCCTTCTCCTTGTACCCCTTTATATTCGTAGATCCTTTCTCTCTCCACGATCACCCCGCCTCCCAGCTGAATTAACATCTTGACTCCTTTGCTCATTTCTGCAATCCACATGAGCTAGTTCTATCAGAATTACAGCACCCACGCCATTATGAACGATCAACCTGTTAGGTCGAATTTAAGTCTTCTTTGCGTTTTTTTCCCCCCCTTTGGATTGAAGGTAGAAATACTATAACTAAGAGTTACTTGGATTTTTTTTCCAGTTTTCTTTAATATGGTTGTTACCCATCTGATAGATAGTGAAGTTCATATGTTTTCGTTTGTTTCCAATTTGAAGTTGTTTTTTTTTTAAATCCTTTTTGATCTAATTTTATTTTTATTTTTTTAATTTTATTTTTAAATGTGTAATATATTAACATGTTTGATGTGATCAAACATCGAAACTTTATAAAAAGATGTGTTCAAAGACTCATTCTGGTTTATCTTTCCTGTATTTCTCTTTGCAAAAAAAAAAAAGAGGGGGTGGCTGGCTCCATCAGTAGAGCATGCAACTCTCGATCTTGGGGTCATGAGTTCAAGACACACATTGGGTGTAGAGATTGTTTAAAAAAATATATATATTTTTGGGGGCGCCTGGGTAGCTCAGTCGTTAAGTGTCTGCCTTTGGCTCAGGTCATGATGCCAGGGTCCTGGGATCGAGCCCTGCATCGGGCTCCCTGCTCGGCGGGAGGCCTGCTTCTCCCTCTCCCACTCCCCCTGCTTGTGTTCCCTCTCTCGCTGTGTCTCTCTCTGTCAAATAAATAAATAAAATCTTAAAACAAAACAAATATATATATATATATTTTTAAAGATTTTATTTATTTATTTATTTGAGAGAGAGAGAATGAGAGAGAGCACATGAGAGGGGGGAGGGTCAGAGGGAGAAGCAGACTCCCCGCCAAGCAGGGAGCCTGATGCGGGACTCGATCCCGGGACTCCAGGATCATGACCTGAGCCGAAGGCAGTTGCTTAACCAACTGAGCCACCCAGGCGCCCTATATATATATATTTTTAATAGAGAGCACATGAGCTGGGGGGCAGGGATAGAGGGAAATGGAGAGAATCTCAAGTAGACTCCATGCTGAGCGTGGAGCCTGACGTGGGGCTCCATCTCACGACCTTGAGATCATGACCTGAGCCAAAATCAAGAGTCAGATGCTTAACTGTCTGAGCCAGTCAAGCACCCCTAAAAATAAAATGTTTAAAAAGAAAGAAAGGAAAGAAGAAAGAGAGGGAAAGAGAAAGAGAAAAAAAGAAAGAGAGAGGGAGGGAGGAAAGAGGGAGGAAGGAAGGAAGGAAGGAAGGAAGGAAGGAAGGAAGGAAGGAAGGAAGGAAGGAAGGAAGGAAGGAAGATGACTGGGTGGCTCAGTCGGTTAAACGTCTGCCTTCAGCTCAGGTCATGATCCCAGGGTCCTGGGATTGAGTCCCACATCAGGCTCCCTGCTCTCCCCCTGTTTGTGCTCTCTCTCTGACAAATAAATAAAATCTTAAAAAAAAAGAAAAAAGAAAAAAGGGAAAGAGATAAAAACGTATAAACGTTTTCTTGAGGTGTCTGGCTAGCTTAACTGACTGAGCCACCCAGGCGTGCCTTTGGTGCATTTCAAAGCAAATTGCAAACATCTGTACACTTTGCCCTAAATACTTAAGCATGCATATCACTACCTAGAGGTCATATTCGTTTATTTTTTTCTCTTTTTAAATTTTATTTTAAAAACATTTAAGATTTTATTTGTAAGCAGTCTCTACACCCAACATGGGGCTTGAACTCACAACCCTGAGATCAAGAGTTGCAGACTCCACTGATGGAGCCAGCCAGGTGCCCCTAGTTTTTTTCTCTTTTGATGTAAAATTTATGTAAAATGAAATCCACCAATCTTAGAGATATATTTGCTGAATTTTAATGGTACATGTCCCTACATAATCCAAACCCTCATCAAGGTATAGATTGTTACCATCACCCCCAGATTCTCTCACTCCCGAATCATTCCTCCACCATCCCCCGGACGCTACCTCTGTTCTGATTTCCCTCCACCTTTAGTTAGTCACGCTTGTTCTAGACTCTCACAGATATGGAATCCTACCAAGCATGTGTGTGGCCTTTCGTGTCTGGCTTCTTTCACTTAGCAGAATGCTTTTGAGATTCATCCGTGTGGATGCATCTGTCAGTAATTTGTTCCTTTTTGTGGCTGAGTATAGAATTCTCCTAGCTCTCTTTTGGTTTCTCCTTACCAGGTTTCTTTCCTTTTTTTTTTTTTTCTTCCTAATAATGGCTCCATGGAGATATAATTCACCTATATAAAGTGTACATATAAAGGGTACAATGGTTTTTAGTATTCACAGAGTTGTGCAACCATCATACAATCAATATACATATATTTTTTAAAGGTGTGTTTATTTGAGAGAGAGAGAGAGCATGAGCAGGAGGGGTAGAGGGAGAGGGGGAGAGAATCTCAAGCAGACTTTGAGCTGAGCGTGGAGCCCAACGTGGGACTCGATCTCACGCCCCTGAGATCATGACCTGAGCCACATCGAAGAGCCGGCTGCTTAACCGACTGCACCACCCAGGCGCCCCTCATACAATCAATATTAGATTTTCATCACCACCCAAAAGAAACCCCAGACCTGTTAGGAACTTCCCATTCCCAGCCCAGTCCCCACAACCACTAATCTACTTTCTGTCTGTGTAGATTGTCTATTCTGGACATTTGGTAGAAATGGGACCCCACACTCTCTCCCTGAATTCTCGTAAGGTCTGAGCCCAGGCTTTTCATCTCACCTCCCGTAACTCTCCTACCAGCCCCAGGAGCCCCTCTGTCTCCAATTTACAGATGAGGAATTTGAGTTCATTTGAGAGAAGCTGCATCTCACCCTGGGTCCTAAGGCTGGAGAGCAGGAGCTCTGGGGTCCATGAGTCAGTGCCCTCTCTGTGGCCCAGGTCACCCCAAAGAGTGCTCTCCCCACCCCACCCCCGCCCCTGCCCCTGCCCCTGAGTCCCATGGGCTTCCCCCAGGAAGCTGAACGCCCCCACCCTGTCACCCCCCCCCCCCCCAGGTGTACATGTTCCTGGTGAAGTGGCAGGACCTGTCTGAGAAGGTGGTATACCGGCGGTTCACGGAGATCTACGAGTTCCACGTGAGTGCCCTGCGCACTTGTGTGTGTATATGTGTGTGTGTGTGTGTGTGTGTCTGTGTCTGGGAAGGGAGGGGACGGGAGGGGACACCACACCCAGTCCCAGCTCTGCCCTTCCAGGGGGAGGGTGGCCCAGGTGCTGGCCAGGAAGTGAGGAACCCAGAGCACCCCCAGCCCACAGATGAGGGTGCATTATTTATTCCTTAAGTTAATAGAACATTTTCCTTAAAGTATGTTTTATTTTTTATTTATTTTTTGTTTTTTTTAATTTAAATTCAATTGATTAACATACAGTGTATTATTAGTTTCAGATGTAGTATTCAGTAATTCATCAGTTGCGTATAACACCCAGTGCTCATCACATCCAGTGCCCTCCTTAATGCCCGTCACCCAGTTACCCCATCCCCCCAACCACCTCCGCTCCAGCAGCCCTGTTTGTTTCCTAGAGTTAAGAGTCTCTTATGGTTTGTCTCCCACTCTGATTTCGTCTTATTTTGTTTTTCCCTCCCTTTCTTTATATTCATCTGTTTTGTTTCTTAAATTCCACATGTGAGTGAGATGATATAATTGTCTTTCTCTGACTATTTCTTAGTTAGCATAATGCCCTCTAGTTTCATCCACATCGTTGCAAGTGGTAAGATTTCCTTAAAGTATGTTTTAATGTGGTAAAATACACAGAACTTCGCATTTTTTAAAAAAGATTTATTTATGTATTAACACAGAGGGAGAGAGCAAGGACAAGCAGGGGGAATGGCAGGCAGAGGGAGAAGCAGACCCAGGCGCGCCCCAGACTTTTTTAAAATATTTTTTTATTTTTAAATTTTTATTTTACCCAACGTGGGGCTCAAACTCATAATCCCGAGATCAAAGGTTGCCTGCTGTACTGATTGAGCCGGCCAGACGCCCCTCTTGTATGAGAAATTTAAAGCAAAATGCAGGGTCACCTGGGTGGCTCAGTCGGTTTCTGACTCCTGATCTCAGCTCAGGTCATGATCTCAGGAGCCTACCTAAAAAAAAAAAAAGTAAGTAAGTAAGTAAATAAAGCAAAATGCAGATCAATGTGAAGACTATAAGGGTCCCACACACCCAGGACACTGAGTCACAACTGATATCACTGTGCTGTTTGCTACAAGGCTTTTTTTTTTTTTAATGTCAACTCTAATCCCAGCGTGGGGCTTGAACTCACAATCCCGAGATCAGGAGTCATGAGCTCCACCGACTGAGCCAGCCAGGCGCCCCACAAGGCTTTTTTTAAGATAATAAAAATAAAACATGGGGCTCCTGGGTGGCTCAGTTGGTTAAGCGACTGCCTTCAGCTCAGGTCATGATCCCGGAGTCCTGGGATCGAGCCCCGCATCGGGCTCCCTGCTCAGCAGGGAGTCTGCTTCGCCCTCTCCCACTCCCCCTGCTTGTGTTCCCCCTCTCGCTGTGTCTCTCTCCGTCAAAGAAATAAATAAAATCTTTTAAAAAAAGAAAAGAAGGGGCGCCTGGGTGGCTCGTTGGTTAAGCGACTGCCTTCGGCTCAGGTCATGATCCCAGGGTCCTGGGATCGAGCCCCGCATCGGGCTCCCTGCTCAGCAGGGAGTCTGCTTCTCCCTCTCCCACTCCCCCTGCTTGTGTTCCTTCTCTCGCTGTGTCTCTCTCTGTCAAAGAAATAAATAAAATCTTTTAAAAAAAGAAAAGAAGGGGCGCCTGGGTGGCTCAGTCGGTTAAGCGACTGCCTTCGGCTCAGGTCATGATCCTGGAGTCCCGGGATCGAGTCCCGCATCGGGCTCCCTGCTCGGCAGGGAGTCTCCTTCTCCCTCTGACCCTCCTCCCTCTCATGCTCTCTGTCTCTCATTCTCTCTGTCTCAAATAAATAAATAAAATCTTAAAAAATAATAATAATAAAAAAAATAAAAAAGAAAAGAAAACATTACAAAAGAAGTGGAAAACACCCTTCATCCCATGCCCTGTCCCAGCTCCAGCCTGGGTGACTACAGCTGTGCACACACACACACACACACACACAAGTCCAAGAACAAGATACAGTAGTGTTGAGCGTGCATTCTCCGCAGGCTTTCTAGAAGCCATCAGCATGCCGCTGCTCCTTTCTCTGCCTTGTTCCTGTCACTAGGTCACATTTTTGAGACCTGTCCATGCTGATATGTGCGCGACTCCATCTCTCCTCTTTAAACTGTTCTGGGTTGTTCTAGCGTAGGATTAGCCCCTTTTACTAATTGGTGGACTCTTGCATTCATTCATCAACTATTTATCGAGCACCTACTAAGCGCCAGGTGCGTCCTACTTGGTGAGTGGGAGATGCTCTGAAGGTAACAAGGGCATAAAAAAGATGCAAGTCCTTGCCCTCCCTTGTGGACCTTAAGTTCTAGCGGAGGAGTCAGGATAACAGACAAACAAAACATAAGTAATTTACATAGTATGTTAGACAGTCGTTAGAACTATAGAGAAAATAAAGTAGGGGGTGGTGGTGGATGGGAGGACTGAGTTAGGAGGGGAAATTGTCAGGGAGAAGGTTTCACTGAGGGGGTGATATCTGAGCAAAGACTTGAAGAAGGACAAAGAGAAAGAGAAAGCGCTATTGACAGATACAGGGAAAGAACGGGAAAAGCAAGTGCAAAGGCCCTGGGGCAGGAATGGGCCTGGAGTATTCAGAGATGGCTGGAGCAGAGTGAACAAGGGAGGGGAGGGCAGCGGCAGAGGAGGTCAGTGAGGCAGACAGGACGGGTCTGCGGGGCCCTGTAGACTAATGTGAGCTGAGAGTCAGGGAGGGCTCTGAGCAGAAGAGAGACATGATCCAATTTAAGTGTGAAGAGGGTGCTGGGTTGAGGACAAAGATGGAAGGGGGCGTAGGATGTGATCATCCAGGTTCGGTGGAAGCTCAGCCCGAGGTGGTGGCTGTGTGGGTAGTGAGAAGGGTCAGATTCTGGATGGATTTTAGGAGCAGAACCAGAAGAATCTGCTGGTGGCTGTAAGGTGGGAGAGAAAGAGGACCAAGGATGGCAGCCGAACTTTCTAGCCCACGTGATTAGAAGAGTCGTTTCCGATTCGATGCTTTGACAGGGTTGTAATAAAGGACGTGCCTTCGCCTTTTCTTTTGTGTCTAGAAAACGTTAAAGGAAATGTTTCCTATCGAGGCGGGGGACATCAACCCACAGAACAGGATCATTCCCCACCTGCCAGGTAAGGAGCAGGTCACCTGTCCTGGCTCCGCTCTCCTGCCCTGCGATCTGTGCCCCCTACTCCCGCTCCCTCTGGGACTTGACCTGGGAGTGTGCTCACTGGTGTCCCTCCCGGGCCCCTCCAGCCCCACGGTGGTTCGACGGGCAGCGGGTCGCCGAGAGTCGCCAGGGCACCCTCACCGAATACTGCAATGTGCTCATGAGCCTGCCTGTCAAGATCTCTCGCTGCCCCCACCTCCTCAACTTCTTCCAGGTGCGCCCTGACGACCTCAAGCTCCCCACGGACAGCCAGTGAGTGGCCCCCCGCATTCTGGCCCCGAAGTGGAAGAGGGAAGGGTGGTGGTGAGCTCTGCCTGGGGAGGCGGTGCAGGATATCCCCCCTGTGACAGATAACTAAAGCTCAGGGAGGGGAGGCGACTTGCCTGAAGTCACACAGCCCGAAAGAGAAGGAGGAAGGATTCCAACTCTGGCCCGTGTGACCTGGAACTCCCCCACCCCCCGCCCCAGCGTCCCTGCCAATTCTCCACCTGGAGCCCTCTGAGCCTCACAGTGCTGGGTGGGGGGGCTCTCTGGGCTGGGAATGTGAGATCCTAGGTCCTCAGCCTCAGCTTGCCTTCTGAAAGCCATTTCTCTGTCTGTAACGGGGTGGGAAGGGCCAGATGGAGTAATGGGGGCCATGGAGAGCACTTACAAACCGTGAAGTGCAGAGCCCCAATGAGGGGGGTGGGAGGGTTGGTGGCCACTGTTAATCGCTGAGCACGCCTCCGCTTTGCCCCTCATTTTCTGCCTGCCCCAGCCCCAGGGGACTCCTGTACTCAGGGCCCAGCCTGGAAAGCATCTGAGAAGCTGAGGGAGGTCTCAGGGGAATGAGCTGTCCTGCTGGGGAAGGTCCCTCCCTCTGTCCCTCGCTGCTCACTGAGTGCTGGTGAGGCCTGGTGGACACACAGCACCGTGGAACATCTCCCCTGGCCCAGGGGCAGGACAGTGCAGCACCCAGGGGCCTGGGTGGTGGGGATGCCCCCTCCCTGTCGGCCACTCTCCTGAGCCCCCAGAAGAGGGGAGCTGGCCCCCCAAGGTGACAAGAGCCTTTCCCAGACCGGAGTGCATCACCTGTGTTCTCCTTAACAGTTGTCTCCTTGGGGCACCTGGGTGGCTCAGTGGTTAAGCGTCTGCCTTAGGCTCAGATCACGATCCCAGGGTCCTGGAATCGAGCCCCGCATCGGGCTCCCTGCTCAGCGAGAAGCCTGCTTCTCCCTCTCCCTCTGCCTACAGCTCCCCCTGCCTGTGTTCTCTCTCGCTCACTGTGTCTCTGTCAAATAAATAAGTAAATAAATCCCTAAAAAAACCGCCCAAAACAGTTGGCTCCTTCTTTGGGTCTGCAGAAGGCGGGGGGGGGCTGCTTTCCTTGCCCCGTGGCTCCCTTCCCCCTGCAGCGGCCCCCACATCCCATGTTCCTTTTCCTCTTGGGAAGTTCTTCTGTAGGTCTGCCCGGAGCCTCTGCTTCCCCGGTGGGAAGCTGCACACCTAACCCAGATTCTTCTTTCCTGCAGGGTGAAAAAGCCAGAAACCTACCTGGTGCCGAAAGACAAGAGCATTACGGGTGAGAGCCGGGGGCAGCCACCTGTAGGTCACCCTGAGGGGACTGGGGACATGATGGGGGATGCTGAGCACAGGCCGTGCAGGGAAAGGAGCCGGGGTGGGGGGGAGTTATCTTGGTGGCTTGCACTAACGACTGGGGATCTTGGGGGGTCACTGGTCAGTGAAGCTTTCGAAGCTCATGTCTGTGGCCGCAGAGCCCAGCCCGACCCCCGCTCCCAACAGCCCGCGATGTCCTGGCTGAATGAATGAACAGGTTTGGGGGCAGAGGGGCCTGACCGTGTCTGATCTGTTGTGCACGATAATTGTTAATAATACAACCTGACATTTATTAAGGACTCATTCTGTCCCAGGCCCTATTTTAAATGTCTTGCACATATTAACACGTGTAATCATCTCTGTAACAAATATGAAGTAGGGACCAAAGTGCTATTAACCCCATTTCACAGCTGGACACACTGAAGCTTGATTTGAGCTGGAACTCAGGTCAAGGGCCACACAGCCACGAAATGTGGAGCGGGATTTCAACCAGTGAGTGGGATGCCCGGATGGGGCTATGGGCCACTCACCGTGTGGTCCAGGGAGCAGTGTCTTAGTCTATGCGGGCCAAAGCACCGCAGACCAGGCGAAGGGGGAGGGAGGGTCTTAAACAACAGAAATGAGTTCTCTCACAGTTCTGGAGGCTGGGAGTCCGAGATCAGGGTGTGGGTGGGGTTGGGCTCTGCCGAGGCCTCTCCCCTTGGCGTGCAGACGGCTGCCTCCCCCTTGTGCCCTCACCCGGCCTTCCCTCTGTGCACGTATCCCCCTGGTGTCTCCTCTTCCTCTTATAAGGACGCCAGTCCTATGGGGTTAGGGCCCCACCCCTACCACCTCTTTTTTTTTTTTTTTAAAGATTTTATTTATTTATTTGACAGAGATAGAGAGACAGTGAGAAAGGGAACACAAGCAGGGGGAGTGGGAGAGGGAGAAGCAGGCTTCCCGTGGAGCAGGGAGCCCGATGCGGGGCTCGATCCCAGGACCCTGAGATCATGACCTGAGCCGAAGGCAGACACTTAACAACTGCGCCACCCAGGTGCCCCACCCTTACCACCTCTTTAAAGGCTCTAACTCCAAATACAGATTCTAAGGTACTAGGGCTTAGGGCTTCAACATGTGAATTTTTGGGAGGGGAGAAGAGGGGTATTTCAGTCCATAACATGGTGCACTGACAAGACCTGGGGACTGGTTAGAAATGCAGACTCTCAGGTCCCATTGCCGGCCTATGGAATCAGAACCTGCGTTCCAGCAAGATCCTGGGGCGATTGGTGTGCACATTAGGGCGCAGGAGGGCTGCTCACTGACCTGATCAAGTGAGAAAGAGGGTGTGTAAGGTGTGTGACTAGGGTCTGGAACACACGAGGTGTTCCATAAATGTGGGGCTACAAAAACTAGCTGGTCTCTGCTGCTTTCTAGTTGGCAGGGGACATCTACCTCCAGTGCACCTGGTTCTGGTGGCCCGTGCAGGGGACTGCCTGGAGGAGGCAGCCCATCCCCGCACTGTGCACTCACCCCACCTTCCCTCTGTCCAGACATCACAGGCCCCATCATCCTGCAGACGTACCGGGCCATCGCTGACTTTGAGAAGACCTCGGGCTCCCAGATGGCTCTGGCCACGGGTGATGTGGTGGACGTCGTGGAGAAGAGTGAGAGTGGTCAGTCTCCCTGCCCTGCTGGGACCTCAAGCCCCCTACCAAGGCTCTGGCCCTCAGACAGCCTCCAGCTTCCTCCCCGCCTGGTCCACTGACAGGCTTGTGGCTCCTCTGGGGACCCCAGCTGGCCTCCCCACGCTGAGGGCACCCCCAGGGGAGGCTGTGGGCATCTGGGCATCCCCGGGGTTAGGTCCAGGAGGCTAGGTGAGCTTCTGGGCGTGCTGTGTGGGAAGCAGATTCTGAGCTGTAATCCTGTAACCTGTGTGCATGGAGGATGGTGAAGGTGACAATTCTGAATTTGAATGTTGGATGTCTGTGTGTCTATGTCCGGGTGTCCTTACCAGCCTGGTGGCCAAGGGAGGCTGCCAGGCCCGCCCAGACTTCCTGCCTCACCCCCACCCCTCCCCCACCCCCGTCCCTGCACAGGCTGGTGGTTCTGCCAAACGAAGACAAAGCGAGGCTGGGTCCCGGCGTCCTACTTGGAACCCCTGGACAGTCCTGATGAGACAGAGGACCCAGAGCCCAACTATGAAGGTGTGGCCTTGCCTTCCATGGCCATAAGGATGGGAGGGGAAGGGACCGGAGGGGCCCTGGGATATTGAGAAGCCAGATACAATCATATCTACTTGGGGGTTGGGTAGGACTGTGGGCTGCCCAGCGGGGTCAGGGTGGAGACCCCATAGTCTGGCTTGAGGGGCCCAGGTAGGAGGTGATGCCCTTGGTCAGGACAGAGAACCAGGAGATAGAGTAGAGGTGGGTCCAGCCCGGGCCAGGTCCGGCGGGAAGCCAACTGAGAAGCAGATCTGAGGTTGAGGGAGGAGCGCTGCCTGCGGGCAGGGGCATCCTCGCTGACTGCAAGCGGAGAACCGGCAGCCCGCGGGCTGGAGCTAAGTAAGTAAGTTAGAGTTGATTGCCCGTATTTTAAAATGGAGAGATTTCACAACTGTACGCAGATTTATGGCATCCCTGGAAAAACTGGAAAAGGTGTGGACGCCGGAGTCAAGTGGCTCAGGTGCCACGTGGACGGGTGCTCCACCCCTGCACCGCCTGCCTGGCCACGTGTCCTATTTAGGTGCCTGGCCCCTGATGTGGGTGGTGGGGGGTGCGATGGGCCAGCTCCCCCGGGTGTAGTGGGCAGAGGGCAGAACTCCGGGGTGCCCCACGAGTGGGCGGCAGGAGCCTGCAGAGGGAGACCAGTAAGGAGCAGGCAGGGAGGAGAGGGGAGGGTGGTCCTGGGCTCTAGCTGGAGAAAGCCTCGGGGCCCAGAGAGGAGAGGAGGGGAGGCAGGCCAGCGCTGGGCAGACCCTCACACTGTGCCCCTGCCCCCACGGCCGACCAGGTGAGCCCTATGTCTCCATCAAAGCCTATACCGCCCAGATGGAGGATGAAGTGTCTCTGCAGGAGGGCGAAGCCATTGAGGTCATTCATAAGCTCTTGGATGGTTGGTGGGTCATCAGGTAGGAGAGCGCCCCGCCCTCCCCACTGTGCCCACCCTGAGTGTCAGCCCTGGCCTGGGGCCCGGTCTGTTTGGGCTCAGTGCTGACTCAGGTGTGGGACTCTGGATAAGCCACCACCTCTCTATGGACTCAGTTTCCATTTTGGTAGCAGATCAATGACTATCCCACCCCAACTGGCTCTCAGGGTTCAGCGTCCTTGTTCTTTGTGACTTGGGGTCACTCGCCATCTATTATTCCTTCTACAACACAATTGATTGTTGCGTTAATTATTTTACTTGAGAACTGGTAGAGCAGACCCTGTCATCCTTTTTCCTTTTAAATCTTCGGTTGTCATTGATTCTTATCTGGTCATTCCTCCTGGGGAGAGCAGAACCCTGGGGGCTTGTAGGGCCATCTTCTTGGACCCACTGGGCCTCCCCAGGTCCTTTTCCACCCTTTCAGAGCCTCGAGTCATAGGGCCAGTCCATGACCCCAGTGAGCTCGTGGCCACAGCACCCACCATCAGCATGGCTCCGGGCTGGAGGCTCTGAGGCAGGAAGATATTTCTCAACCTTTTTGACCCTCACTTAACCGCCCATCATGTACCCCTAAGAATCTGCTTGTGATTCTCCCACCAGCCAAGAAGGATCAGAGTTTTACTGAGTGAACTTTGTAATATGTGAAGTTTTTCTCACTCCCAAATTATAGTAGTGAGAATGGAGAGAAAAGTCTTTTCAGCAAGTGGTGCCGGAACAGCTGGGCGTCCACCTGGAGGAAAGGCACGTAGACCCCTCCCTCACACCACGCACATTTATTCAGGATGCGTCATGGGTTTGACCAAGCACAAAACCCCAAACTAAAAAGCTTGTGGAAGAAAGCATAGGGGAACTTGGTGACCTGGAGGGAGAGAACGCCAGATCACGCTGTAAAAGAAAATACTGACAAACACACTGTTGCAGATGTTTTATTGCAAACACATGTCCCTGGGCTGGCGGGGGTCGGGGGGCAAGTTGGACCTGCTAATTTCTCCTACTACCAACATCAAGGCTGGGCGGGCCTATGTTGCACAGATGAAGAAACTGAGGCCCAGAGGGACAGAGTCTGGTGTTGGCCAAGCTTCAGGGTATCTGCAACTCCCGACTGCCTTAACCCCAACTGTTTATTTTTTTAAAATTTTTTTTCTTTTTTTAAAGATTTTATTTATCTATTTGACAGAGAGAGACACAGCAAGAGAGGGAACACAAGCAGGGGGAGGGGAGAGGGAGAAGCAGGCTTCCCACGGAGCAGGGAGCCCGATGCGGGGCTTGATCCCAGGACCCCGGGATCATGACCTGAGCCGAAGGCAGACGCTTAACGACTGAGCCACCCAGAAGCCCCATCCCCAACTGTTTAGAGAGATCCCTGAACCCCCCACATCTGAGGCCCCTGCTCCCCCCTGTGACTGCGGGGCCTTCAAGGGCTGCCTCTGTTGCAGGAAAAACGACATCACAGGCTACTTCCCATCCATGTACCTACAGAAGTCCGGGCAGGATATAGCCCAGGCCCAACGCCAGATCAAGAGCCGAGGGGCACCGCCCCGCAGGTGAGCGAGGGTCCCCGGGATTGGACGGGGCTGAGGAAGAGGTACCACGGGTCCCCTCTGTCGGTCCAGGCCCTGGATTGGCAGTGCTGGGGAGGGGGCTCGGGACTGGGGCTCCCCAGCAGGCGGGGGAGACAGAACCCTCACTGGATCGAGGCAGGACTTGCCCTCCCACATCGTGGGTCTGGTCCGGGGGCGGTGGGACAGCAGGGGTATGAGGTGGAGGTGTAGACGTCGATGCCGGGCGTCCTTGGGGACGGCCCGTGAGGGCTGTGGCCGTCCAGAGGGCTTCCTGGGGAGGGGCCGGGCTGATGGCTGGCGAGGGGCTCTGCCACCCAGGAGTCCGCGTAGGCGCGGGGGAGTCGCATGCATGGCCCGCCCCGTCGTGCGGGGTCCCCGCCCCGCTCCCCACTGCCCCGGGCCAGTTGTTGGACCCCAGGGCCTGTCATGCGGGTCCGCGCAAGCAAGGACGCGGGCGCATCGGGGACGGCCAGGCGCTGAGCAACGCCCCCGTCCCGCTGCGCCCAGGTCGTCCATCCGCAACGTACACAGCATCCACCAGCGGTCGCGGAAGCGCCTCAGCCAGGACACTTACCGGCGCAACAGTGTTCGTTTTCTGGAGCAGCGTCGCCGCCAGGCGCGGCCGGGACCGCGGAGGGCAGGGAGCCCGCGCCGTGAGTGCGGGCGGTGGCCGGGGGCGGGGGGCGGGGCTGCGCGGGGCGGGGCCTGGAGAACGGGGCGGGTCCAGGGGCGGGTCCAGGCGCGCCCGGGCCCGCGGAGAGCCGTCAGCCCGCGCGGTGAGTGCCGGCAGCGGCCTGGGGGCGGGCTTTCTTGGGGCGGGGCCTTGAGGACGGGGCGGGGCTAGAAGCGGGGCCAGGGCCGGCCCGGGCCGCCCTGTGCTGGGAGCCCGCGGCGTATGAGTGTCCGTAGCGGTCTGGAGGCGGGGCTTCCCGGGGCGGGGCCTGGGCGGTGAGGGGAGGCGGGGCCGGAGGTGGGGCCTGAAGGTTGGGGCGGGGCCTCTTACCCGGCCGCGCTTTCAGCGATAGGGGAGCAGCCTGAGACCGAGAGCGCAAAGCCACAGCCCGCGGTGCCCCCGCGGCCCAGCGCGGACCTCATCCTGCACCGCTGCAGTGAGAGCACCAAACGGAAGCTGGCTTCCGCCGTCTGAGGCCGGGCCACTCCCCTAGATGGCGTCCTGGCCTCTCCGCCCTGTCCCGCCCCATCCCTGTATACACGTGTATAGATCCAGAAGTCTGGATGCCTCCCGCAGTCCCGGCCTCGCCCGGCTAACTATTCAGCGCTCTCAATAAATGTTGCTTGGAGTGGGCAGAAGTCCTGCAGAGCAGCGGGGCGGGCTGGGCTGGGCTCGCCCTTGGGGGTGTTTATAGAATTAGGACTGAGGGCTGTGAGCTCTGCTGGGGCGGGAGGTTGGGGGAAGTTGCGAGAACCAAGGTCCGGTTGCACACTGCCCTGGCTTTGGCCGAGACTAAGTTTGCACGGGGCCAAGTGCAATAAGAACGCCCCGCACCCCCCGCCCCCGCGCTGGCTGTTTGGACAGAAGCTGCCTGCTAAAACTTTGGTCCCACTGCAGAAGAGTTCTGAAGAAGGGTGCCACAGCGCGCGGTGTGTGCACCTTAGTTCGGTGACAAAGAAAAATTGTCATCTAGGAATAGGGAGGGAGCACCTTTGATTATTCGCTGCCCAGTTAGGAGGTTGTACCAGAAAGCAATTACTCATTCATGAGCAGACCCTCACCGCCCCCACCAGCCCTGCTGCCAGACCATGGCTCAAAGTCTTTGCCGGTGGATCTTTTGCAAAATGCAAAGACACCAACCAGGGTGCAACCTGGAGCTGCAAATCTTGCTAAAGCAGGAGCTTATCAGGAAGGCAGTGGGTGACAGCTACCCCTCCTTATGTGGGAGGTGGCACAAGAGGATGGACAAGGCTGGTTCCTTCGAGATAAGGGGACTGATGATTCTCAAGAGAATAATTTGACCAGCGCAATGATTGAAAGAGGCCTTGAGAACATCACTGGGCCCTTTGCTTTTTGCACATGTGGTTTGCTGGAAAAGTCCAGCCCCTCAAACGCTATCATGCAAAGCTGTGGGAGAATTGACCACCGACCATCCCAACCCCTTTGCTTGTTCAGTTGCAAGTATAATTAAAAAAACAAACTGTGTGAGATAAAATACAGATTTTCTTAATTTTTAGTTTCATCTTTTCCAAGCTAAGGTCCCGATCCAACGTTTTCCTCACGTTTTTCTGCACTTCTGGTCCCCTGGAGGTGGCCCTGCGCTGGCCCCACTGTTGCGTGCTGAGGAGGAGGCCCGGGTGGTGCGTGGGCCTGAGGGCAGGGGGCCTGCCCCGGGGGCTTCTGCTGTCCCCTCGGGGGAGCCAACAGAGAGCACCCGGCAGGCACGTCTGGAGGGGCCTGCGTCTGAGTTACGGCTGCAGTGTGTGGGGCAGACGATTTTCTTGGGGCCAGGCACAATTCTGGTCTCTTTCTTTACCTTGTTTTGGTTTGAGAACAACCCTGGCATGTGGGCTTGTGGTGGAGGAAACCAAGCCTCAGAAAATGTAAGCAAGTTTTTAGGATAATATGGCAAGTGGGTGACAGAGCTTTTCTTTTTGGTTCCAAAGCCCTACTGGATTCATTACATTCTCCTGACCCCGCAGAGTTCCTGCTCTGTGGCTCAGTCCAAATGGCAGGTGCAACGGCCAACGGGCACTGAGAGGAGGGAGGTGACAGGGGCCTGGCTTCCAGAGCCCCAACCCCCCACCCCCACCCCAGGCCTGTGTTGGAGTGACCAGTGTCCTCTGTCCACCTGGGACAGGAAGACAGGGCCTTGGGGGAAATGCTCCTAGAAACTGATGGGGACCACCAAATCCAGCCCTTGGCTCCGGCCTGGGCCCCACCACCCCGCTCCTAAGTGCTCTCATTTGCAGACACCCCATCAATCGATGACCCCAGAAAACCATCTGCTTGCTCAGTCAGTTCTCCCAGGCTTGGCTCTGTCATCTGAGTGAAGGTGCTGGGCCGCCACGGTCCCAACACACATGCAGGATAAAGAAGGAAGCCGTAGGAGTTGATTCAAAGCAGAACAGCCCATGAATAGTCGAGTCACAGAAGGCAGCCCAGGCTGAACCCTGCCGTCCCCTCAGCATCATCCGATGCGCTAACCACCAGAAAGCCACACATGACAGCCTCCTGTCATGGAATAACACGGACTTTGGAGTCACACAGACCTAGTTTGAATCCTGACCCCGTCTCTGCTGTGTTACCTTGGCAGGTCACTTAATCACTCTGAGCCCTAGCCGTCGGTCTATCACATGAGGGGGCTGACCTTTCCCTGCAGAGTCCACAGGGCGACCCCTCTGATACTCGGTTGGGCATCTGCTCGGGTACACCGGGGCGGGTCTCCCCTGACCCCGTTGGAAACCAGCCCATTCCTCCCCCTAGGAAGTGAGCCTCTGAGCTAGCCAGACCCAGCTGTACCTGCAGTCCACCCCCCAAGGACAGGAACTGCCGGGGTGGGGTCATTTTCCCTGTGTCTGAGGACCTGCACTGGGGCTCCAGCTGGGGGCGGGTGCCTTGCGCAGGAAACTGCCTGGAGGTTGGTCTCTCTCTCTCTCCTGTAGCCTCCCTTTATTTTTATCAAAGTGTTTTGTCCATTGCTTCCTGAACGGGTCATCACCAGGTCAGGATCTTTAGCCTTTTTGCTCCCTAGTCAGATTAATTCTTCCAACCTGGAAAGTATTCATAATTTGGGGTCATTAATTCCAGTGGCTAATACAGATTAAGAACACTGTGTGTGCGTGCGCGCGCGCGCTTTCAAATGCCAGCTCTCCGGGGGTTAAGTGCTGTAAAGGGAAGGACATCAGGACAGTCTCCGAGGGACTGTCCCCAGCTTGCAAACATGTTAGAACACAAGGGACACCATGCACAGTGTCATTTATGGTAAACGAGATCGAAGTATTACATCAGTGTTCGATTTACTGGAGCTGGTCACTAAGTAAGTCATGGTTAGAGAATATCCCTATTCTTGGAAAATATTCCCTAAAGTAGTCGGGGGAAAGGATGTATGTAACCCCCTCAAATGGTTCAGAAAAAAAAATTAGGCGCGTGCATTTATACACACATGATACTCGGACACTCCTGCATACAGGCTCACGGGCAGCGTGGGACACACACATGAGAGAGAGAAGGAGGCCAAGCAAACAAGGGATAGAGCATAGGGGTAAAATTTCAATAATATGAGAATTTGGCAAGAGGACATGTAAGTGTTCTTCATACCTTTCTTGTTTCCGCAACTTCTCTGCAAATTTTAAATTATTTCAAAATACAGTTTATTTATTTCTTAAGTCATCACCGCACCCAACACGGAGCTCAAACTCACCACCCACAGATCAAGAGTCGGATGCTCTACTGACTGAGCCAGCCGGGCCCCCCTCAAAAAAAAGTTGATCAAAAAAACAAAACAAAACAAAACAAAAAAACAAAACAACCTCCAAACCTCAGCTGCCTTGGCCTTTGAAAGCTCATGTTACTTGTTATCTGGAGTTCTCCATTTTCAACTCCTATCTTTGTGGGTCTGCCGGGAGGCAGAGACAGATCACCCAGGGGTGCTACGGTTGGTGAATGTGTCTCCAAGGGACTGTCCCCAAGCTTGCAAACATGTTAGATCACAGGGGACACCATGCAGAAAGTGGGCAGATAGATGTGTGTGCATTTACCCTCCTCCACGAATACACACCTCTCTGTTTCTCTGTTGGCTGATTTAAAACTTCAGTATGCTGGCCTCAGGGGTGAGTGAAACCCGCCGGCCAGAAGGAAAGGCAACCACCAGAAATACAATAAAACGGTCTTCATCTTTACTGGACTATGGTGAGGCATAAAATGTCATACAAACGGGTAGGATACTGCAAGTTACATTTCCGAGTCAAAGTGGAAAAAACTGGAAAACAGAAAGTTTGTAACTTGTCTTCTCATCTTGCAATCCCTGGGGCCCGGAGGATTCTAGTCTTGCACCGCACCCCCCCCCCCCCCCGTGTTGTAAGTCATGTCGCGATGTGGAGCATGGAATCCCACTGCGAGTCCTTTAACTGCGAGCAGTATTTCGTTTTGCTCAGTTTCATAATGGAAAACAGCTGTTCGCAAATGTAGGTGCTTCCGAACATGGAGAGAATCTTTGCACAGTGGATTCTGTACTTCGGGTAGCTACTCCACAGGTATTTGTAGAACTCGGGGACCCCGACCTTGTCGTATTTAGTCTTTAGCACCGTGTTGCACTGCAGGTCAATGACCTCCATCTGGAGCGCCTCGTGCACGCTCTCGATCTTCACCGAGAAAGGGGAGCTGAACAGGGTCAGGTCACTTTCATAGAGTTTGAAATCGGACAACCTCTTCTGGAACTCGGTCTTCAGTTCCACGATTTTGGGAATGTAGTTCAGTCCGTCACTTTCATTTCTGGAAACCGACTTCAGCGTGGGGAAGTGGGCCAGGTTATTCCTTGCCAAGTGAGTTTCCCAAAGGCACAGTTTGGCTAGGAATGCCCGGATCAGGTCGTACATCTGCGTGACGACCTGTGAGTGCCCTTGGAGCGAGATGTTCAAAGTGTTCAGGTGCATTGTCATATCGACCAAGAAGGCCAAATCTCTGATCCAATCTTGAGAGCTCAGCTGAGGCAGGGGCTTCCCTCTGGACGACATGAAGGAATCAATTTCTTCCAACGATTCAAAAAATCTCTTGAGCACCAGCCCTCGACTGAGCCACTTAATCTCGGTGTAGTAGAGCAGGCTGCCATATTGGCTGTCCAGTTCATACAGCAAGGTCGTGAACTCACTGTGGTTCAGCCCACGGGAGCAAATCCAGTTCACGGAGTTAACCACCACACTCATGACGTGGTCCATCTTCAACTTTTGCGCACAAAGCGATTCCGGGTGAATGATGCAACAAACCGACTTCAGATCTGAGTCCTTGCAAATCATGGCCACCTTGGATTTAAGTTTCGTCACCAGCCCGTCGTTCACATCGACCATGGCAGGGGTGCCTGTAGAGGCCACGCTGACCAGTTTTGACCAGTCGATATTAAACTTCTTCAGACTCTTCTCGACACGCAGAAATATCTCGTTGCCAGATTTTGTACCTGTCATGGGCACCGTATCCAAGAGCTCTTCCGACACATCGAAATTCTCATCAACGCCGCGGATGAATATGGCCAGCTGGGTGGTATTATTGATATCCGTGATCTCATCGATTGCGATAGAGTATGCCACGAACGACTTGATTTTTTCGCGTAACTTCTCCCATAAGTTCCCAGCCATGTCTTCTATGGGTTGCACGGCCGCGGTTTCATTTGGGCTCACATTTGCAAAGGCCTGTTTCTGCTCGGGGCCCATGATCTCGGATGACCCCAAGAGGTACTTCCTGAGTCCTTTCTTCAGCTCGTGGAGCTTCTCGTCCCGCATCTTCTCAGTATACTGGTCATAGTGCTTGCTGTGGTTCGTTTGATAATGGCGCCGGAGGTTATACTCTTTGGACACAGACATGCTCTGTTTGCATATTAAACACGTAGGAATATTCTGCACTTCCACGAAGAAATACGCTCTCTCCCACTTCTCTTGAAAGACACGGCCCTCCTGGTCTATCTTTCTTTTTCCCACTTTTGATAGAGACATGGAGACAAGAAATATTTCACTTTTTCTCTCAACTCTACCATACGAAAAACGACAGCAAAAATGTGATGATAAATGTCAGGGGTAAAGTGGCTGGGGTGGGGGGGTATGGTTAACCCACTCCTGCAGAGAGGGACGGCTGACTCTCAGCTCCAGCAACGGGCTGCTGGAGGGGATGTGGGATCTGGGGCCAGATCTTCAGATTCCAAGAGAACTTAGAAATCGACTCTTTTTTTTTTTAAGGTAAACTCTATGCCACACGTGGGGCTCGAACTCACAACCCTGAGATCAAGAGTCACTTGCTCTACCCACTGAAAACGTCCCTGGCTTTTCTTTCTTTTTCTTGAAAATGTCCCTGGCTTTTCAATGTCGGCCACTCGTTTCCATTTTTATTTATTTATTTATTTATTTATTTATTTATTTATTTATTTATTTATTTATTAAAGATTTTATTTATTTATTTGACAGAGAGAGACACAGCGAGAGAGGGAACACAAGCAGGGGGAGTGGGAGAGGGAGAAGCAGGCTTCCTGCGGAGCAGGGAGCCCGATGTGGGGCTCGATCCCAGGACC